AACTACCGCCAACTGTCCTACACTCGCTTGCAAACCCAACTCGCCACAAGGCGTGGCCGAGACTCTCGATGCTTTATAAGTTTGACACAGAGCTGCTACGTAGTACTCTACTGGTTTACGTAGTATCTTTCTCTTTAGCCATTGGCTAAAGTGTATTCAAAATGACTCAAACTCTATGTTTTAAGCTGAAGGTGGCACTATACTGTGGTATTTAGGCAGAATTTTTAATTTTTAAAGAAAATGCACCAAAATGCTAAAATAATGAATACACACATTCAAAACACTATTAGTCACTCATTTATACAGTTTCTCAGCAAAAAAGTTAATTTAGACGTTACTTTCTCTTTAAATAAAATTTTCAGGGTGCCCATCCGTCCATCCATTTTCATCCGCTTATCCGGAGTCAGGTCGCGGGGGCAGTAGCCTAAGTCGAGAGGCCCAGACTTCCCTCTCCCCAGCCACTTGGGCCAGCTCCTCCGGGGAAATCCCAAGACATTCCCTGGCCAGCTGAGAAACATAGTCCCTCCAACGTGTCCTGGGTCTACCTTTAGGCCTCCTCTCGGTTGGACGTGCCCGGAAAACCTCACCAGATAGGTGGCCAGGAAGCATCCTGACCAGATGCCTGAGCCACCTCAACTAGCTCCTCTCGAAGGGGAGGAGCAGCGAATCTACTCCGAGCCCCTCCCAGATGACCGAGCTTCTCACCCTATCTCTAAGGGAGAGCCCAGTCACTCTTCTGAGAAAACTCATTTCGGCCGCTTGTATCCGCAATCTCGTTCTGTCACTACCCAAAGCTCATGACCATAGGTGAGGGTTGGAATGTAGATCGACCGGTAAATCAAGAGCTTCGTCTTCTGACTCAGCTCTCTCTTTACCACAACAGACCGGTACAGCGGCCACATCACTGCAGTTGCAGCACCAATCCGCCTATCAATCTCACGCTCCAGTTTTCCCTCACTCGTGAACAAGACCCCGAGATACTTAAACTCCTCCACTCGGGGCAGGACCTCATCCCAGACCCAGACATTCTACCTAGGCATTTTCAGGGTGTTGAAAGTTAAATACTTTGGCAGGTGATTAAATATTTGTAGAAAGTTAGTCTGTCTAATAAGAAACGTAACGAGGCATCTGTAATGATGCTTTATGGCACAAATTATTTAGCATTAAAATATTAGTTTTGCCTACGGATTAGAGCACATTGCCTTAACCAATCTGCAATATATTAACATTTTTTATTCTTACAAATAACGCCTGAAAACGTACATTAGAATGTTTCCTTTTTTAGCTGTTAGAGTGGGGGAAAAGCACCGACTGAACATCCTGGTTTTTCTTTAAAACATATTAATTAATAATGACCAATAAGATGTGATGATTCCATATAAATGTGAAATATCAATCTGATTGATCTTTGAATGTTTAATCAGAAGATTCTAGGTTTCTTTGCTTCTTCAGGTACCATAAACACACTTCGTAGTAAATCAGACAGTCAGTATATAGTTTATAAAATGAATTTAATTATTTTTCCTAAACTATTTATACATGACAAGATATGAATAATGATATGTGATGTGGTGGAAGTGAGGTGTTGTGATAGAAGCAAAATGTTGTAGCAACCGTTCTTCTTATCTGAGAGAAACTGTGAGGTCTGGGTGTAAAAGGATTTGTTGTTTGGTTCTGAACTAGAGAGTTGTTTATTAAAAACAGCATCAGACGCATTCTGTCATGCCAAGTCTACGCACCCTTGGTGTGGAGGTTCTCGTCCGATCTGGGGGGTCGTGCAGGTCACTGCCGGTGGAGTGAACCTCTGATATCAGGAACCCGTAGATAGCTCCGATAAGACCCGTCCAGTCTGAGAACCCTCGAGGTGAAGGCAGGAAGTTAGAATGCTTATTTGCGTCTAAGGTGGATGTTTGCTTGGCTCTTAGAAGAGCCGGTTGTCTGGTATCAGCCGCAGCGTCGCACAGAGGCTTTGACAGGTCAAAAGAGAAGATGGTTTCAAAAATGCTTCTTTCCCGAATGTGCCGGTTCGAAGGTCGGCGAGAAACTGAATTAATCAGGAAGTAAATCTTGTTTTAATAAACTCCATCCATCCATTTTCTGAACCCACTTGTCCACGCAGGGTCGCCGGGGTGGGGGTAGAGGGGGGGGTGCCTATCTCCAGCGGTCAACGGGCAATCAGGCGGGGTACACCCTGGACAGAGAGCCAGTCCATCGCAGGGCAACACAGAGACACACAGGACAAACAACCATGCACACACACACTCACACCTAAGGACAATTTAGACAGACCAATCAACCTAACAGTCATGTTTTTGGAAGGTGGGAGGAAGACGGAGTACCCGGAGAGAACCCATGCATGCACAGGGAGAACATGCAAACTCCATGCAGAAAGACCCCAGGCCGGGAAGCGAACCCAGGACCTTCTTGCTGCAAGGCAACAGCCCTAACCACTGCGCCACTGCGCAGCCTTTTAATAAACTCATTATTTATAATTTCTGGCGTATTCTGGCAAATCAGAATGTGCCAAGTCTGGAAGGCTTTACCAAATCCTTCCTCAGAAAGCCACGCCTTCTTGCAGATGCAAAGAGGTTTTTAACCTTAATATGTATCTTGTTGTAATGTGTATGAGTGTAAACAATTAACTTGTTCAATGAAACACATAGTGATTTGTGATATAAATGGATCATTGTAAGAACAATATTCATTTCAAATTCATTGACTTAAGCACAGATTATTCACACATTTGATTTAAATATCTTGTTCATTCATCACATGTGGTTATTGTTAGTTTATGAGTTGTAGCAGTTGAATCAACCGAGTCGTCTCCATCCACCAAGAGGAACTATAGGTTTAAAGCACTTTAGCAGTCCTTCGCCCAACAGAAAAGGAAAATCCCCGATGTCAGACACATACACTGGGTGTCTCGCAGACATGCCACCCACTGAAACTTCAAAGAAAGCTACGGACGACAAGGTAATTGGATCTGGAGTTAAAGGATTCATGTCCACAGCGCAGGGCGTGTGTTAAGACATGACCCTGTCCAACAGCAGCCAAGCGGACGCTCTCCCAAAGGGAACGGGACTTGATGGTGAGGTCCGAACCAGAGTCCAAGATAGCGTCATAGTCAAGGATGTCAAGGGATGTGAGGTTTCTCCTTGGGACCTTTACGGATGATATCACAGAGAAACCTTAGTGGAGGTTTGTCCGGTGAGTAAGGATTACCTGACCTGCTAACAGGTGCATTGGATCACAGGATGCACTGTTGGGGCATGTTTCACTTTTGGAGGACTCGTCGTTGCGACTGAGTCACGTCAGGATCAACAGGTGCAGGAAGATGTGCACTCTGTTCTGCAGAAGAGACGAGTAGAACTCTGTTAGTCTTTGATGGGTCTTCATCCAAGACACGAAGGGCATATTTTAACGCTTGGCTCATGGTCTCGGGAGGCCTGCTACCGGACTCAGCTCTTGACCTTGCAGCAGCAGGGCTGAGTTGTAACATCATGGAGTCTTGATTTATTCAGAGTGAAGAATGTTGACATCTGGCTTTCATGCAGAGAGAGCAGGAACCTTGGGAGAGAATGTTTGTTTGAATGTTTTGTCTTCATGATATGTAAACATGCACTGAGCAGAACCTTCTGGATTTGGAAGGCCAAATAGAAAGTGTAGATGTATTTCTGTAGATGAAAGGTTATCATGTTGCTCAATATATAGATGAAAATTTACCCTTGTGGTACGTTACAAACGTTTAGATAGAAAATGTCACCTTTCACGCTCTGTTCCCACACAAATTGAAGTCATCATTTAGGCGTTCACTGTCCACACACCTCAGGCCCAAATAGGGTCGTTTACAAATGATATTCTTTCCATTTTGACTTTGTACAAACCAGAGGACTGTATTTCTGCTACCATGTTGGATCGTAGTTTATCTGCCCCATCATGTTTGCTCATGTTGGTGTTCTCTGCTGGTCCCTATAGAGTGTTTCATATCTTCTGTGTCTGAGGTTGGCAACACATTTCTTGAAGACCGCCTTTATTTTGAAACCTAACGAGACTTTTGCAGAGTTGTGCACTTCAGGGTTTTCCCTCTGGAGTCTGTATGTTCACTTTTGGTTTTTGCATTTGTTGCCAATACTGAAAATGCATCTTAAACAGCTTTACTTCCTACAGCAGGGGTCTCAAACTCCTGTTCTAGAGGGCAACTATCCAGCATGTTTTAGTTGTTGATGGCCGTATCACCTGTTCTTCCTTTTAATAACCTGCTGATTAAAATTGTGTTTTGAAGCAGAGGAACAACAAAAACAAACCAGGATTAACAGTCTAGTGTCCAAGACAACCCTGAACTCCTGATTCCACATTGGTGTTTGAGTGGTAGGATTGGTAGGATTCGTACCTACCATTCGGGAGGCCTAGGGTCGATTCCTGGCCAATGCAGTCACTGTTGGGCAAATGCTTTAACCAGCTCAATGGCTTAGTAGGAGTGTCCGCCTTGACACGGATGTTGTGGGTTCATATCCACAGTCGGGTCATACCAAAGACTTTAAAAATGGGACCCAGTGCCTCCCTGCTTGACACTCAACTTCAAGTGTTTGACTGGGGGGTTAAACCACCCATGGACATGAATAAATAAGCAAACCTCTAATTAGCATTCAGTTGTGTTTGCAGATGTATCAGATGGTCTGCTATCCAAATAAAAACCAGAATAATCAATCATATAATCTAATAGTCAGACAGACATTCAACTGCACAATCCTGCAGCTTTTTGCTGAAACACATTTGGAACAAACAAGTTTCTGCTTTGTAAACAACCGACTCACAAAAATGCACAATGGAACCAGAATGGATACAAATAGTAGTTAGTATTGTTAACCGCCAGATTTAGTTAGAATTTAAACTCAGTCTTTTGTGTTTTTTTAGCGTGGATTCTCAGAACAATCTTAGGTTTATGAAACTTTTCTTTATGCCGTGTTGTTTTCAGTAATTTTAAACTTTTCCATCCTCAGGATGAGAGTCGAGTGAAAGTGACGGTCCTGGAAATCCTTCCTGTGGACCACAGAGAATACAGCAGGAATCTCCTGAGCAGCATCAGTAAGCTGGCGCGCTGAGCTCTGTTCCTGTCATCCAAACGGCCGCCTCATCATTACACAGATCTGACTGGATGCTGACTGGTGTCAGGCTTTTTCTTTCCCCACAACTGCACGATATATCATTTCTGACTACGAGTGATTCATTTTAGTTAATGGCAGCCTAACAAAGACTGTGATGTTGGTTTTCTCCAGCTGACTCAGAGCGAAACATTGAATTGCCTTTGATGGATGTCATTTTAGCGAAAGCATTTTAGAGTTTAAAGGTTCGTTTTACCCTGTGTTGCTTTCTGGTTCTATGCATCATGGACATTTAAAGAGCACCTTTTCTATTTATTTTTTATACACGTGAGTCAGTTCTTTAGTTTAATGGATGCTGCCATTTAATGATTATAAGACACAAATAGGCAAATGGGAAAAAAAGACTCAAAACATATATAAGGTCTGGATTTTAACTTTTTGAATATTTTTATGTGTTTTGGTTGTTTCCTCCATTTCTGAAAATGGGAAAATATTACAAAGGATTAGAATTGCTTTGTCTTCATCACTCGTTTTCATGTTTATGATCAGTGTTAATAAATAGCTGCTAATTTTGTTCCAACTCTTTGAAGTATTGTGGATATTTTTATTTATTTATCTTGTATTTTTTAGTCTGCACAATAACTGTTTGGTGTCAGAGTTTTTTTTATCAGATTAGGTTTAACTAAACAAAGTAAATTAATCCAATCCCAATTTTTAATCATTGGATTAGCTCCACGTACAACTAGGTTTTTATATAAGAGGTTAGTCATTTTAGACATCTCAATCATATTTTGCCAATACAGACGATCTGTATCTTGTGTGTATAATAATAATAATAATTATCTATATCTATATATATATATATATATATATATATATATATATATATATATATATATATATAATTGTATTATTATTTTATAGTTACTGAAGTGACAAGAAACACAAAACTGGTACAAAACTGCATTTGGTTCAAGAGTCTTAAAGATTTCAGTAAATATAAATCAAACACCGCTTTTGCTTAAGGTTAAATCTTCTAATTACTGGAATTTAAAAGATCATAGGCACTATTTAATTTCAGATATTTAGACTGATGCATCTCTCCATGACTACCTCTGTTGCTGTTGGCATTCTCAGGATGAGGAAATTCCCGCCTACACACCTGCTCACACTCATGGTGTTTTTAAGGCATCAAAGTCTAATTATAACTAAACGTTAAAGGAAAACTAAAATTTCAATATACAGCTGCAAAGGTGAATGCTGCAGAATAACTAGGGCCAACAACTGGAAAGAAATGATTCTGGCTTTAATTATCTAGCTTGACTGAACAAAAATTGTATATTTCAGAACAAAATCCTGCTGTTGATCTTCAGTCTTCTAAAATAGTAAAACCATGACAATTTTAACAAAACTTCCCTAATTACTAATATTAAGACAATTAAAATCAAAAAATATTTTTGCTCTTTTCAATTTTCTAAAAAAAAAATTCACACTATCTGCTATGGAAAAACCTGCCAGATGACCAGCTAGAAAAGCTCCATCTTCCAGTATATTCATGTAAAAATGTATTCCTGCCCTCAAGTCTCCATTCAAACACTGGAAAGATGAGCAGCACAGTGACACGTCTCACCTGGTGCGACTGTGGGCGTGGCTCTGATTAAGCATGAGTGGACTCCTTGCACCATCAGGACCGTTTCAGGTGGAGGTATCTAAAGGCATTTCTGGGTTTCTGAGACCTCTTTAACAGGATTAGTGCTTTTTGAAAAAACACCGCATTTAACTCGTTCACTGCCATTGACAACTAAAGTCGTCATTTGCATTTATTTTACTGTGTGGTCATCGGAACGAGCCCCCGGGCCGAGAGAACAAACATCTCAGCTCTAAAGCCGATCTTCATCCGCATATGTCACATGACCAGGAAGCAGAAAATCCATGTGTTAGATGGAGATTGTTTTGGGCCGTTCCTGTAAAAAAAAAAGTGAGGCGCGAACCGGAAAAGTGTTTGCCGATCACAATTCGACAACGGATTATGAAAGAACGGATAACGTTCGAAACATGCAGATTCTTCCTGCTGTAAGATGTGAGTTTCAGCTTTGTTTTGGTTGCTTTGGCATCGACATCATCCTAGCGTGCAATGTTCTGTGACTCTTAAAAACACAATAAAAACGGCGAGAAACGCTGGCAGCAAAGGCCTTTAGCAATCAGGATACAGCTGGCAGTGAATGAGTTAACTCTATAAATGCTTTCTGACCTCTAGTGGAGGATCTGAGTACTGCAGGAAACAACCCCAGACTATAATAACAATTTTTATATTAACAATGAAAAGTTCTTTTTTAAAAATATGTATTCTTTACTCATTATTTCATGTTTAAAATTTTGAAGTGTTCATTTTAATCCAGTGTCACATTTTTATTCAGTTTAATCCCTGAAACTTTCTAATTGTTTTCAAGCAATATAAACAAAATAGTTGCCTTTCTTTACATTTTGATTTTTAAAAATAATTTCATGGAATAAAATCTGTAGGTGTCAGCCTAAAAATAAGTCTGAGATCGGAAAGTTATTTAATCCTCTCTGATGATTGAAGTTATTAATGTTACACAATGTGAGTCAGAGGGCAGTGAAGGAAACTGTTCAGAAACGGGAGCGGGGAACTGTTAGGATGGGCATTTCCTCTGGAAATACTGAAACTTTGGTTTATTAGGCATGCAGTGTCTGCCTCTGCAGTGTGTGTGTGTGTGTGTGTGTTACAAGGACAGTGAATGGAAATGAGCTTCTGTTATCACAGAGGTCACAGCCCTGATCACAGTCTATCTGTCCGCGGCCCTATCTCGAGACATGCTGTGTTTCAATCAATCCTTGACTCTCTGCGTGATGCTTGAGTGCATTGGGGGACAGATGGGTGTGACTAGAACAACCACCCTTTTCAAGCAAGTGTGTGAAACATTTGCAAGGCCAAGTGTGCAAGAGCTTTTATTTCCCTGATGCTTTCCCACTGATGCTTATTTTAATTAAATTTAAATTATTAGAATTACAGTTTTTTATGTCACAAACATTCTCTCCTCTAGAGTGGTAGGCTGAACACTCCTGAGTATTGGTGATATTTAATGAGTCTGAGTTAAGAACTGACACGGATCTAGATCGTACCACCTCCGGTCACTCAAAGGGGGTTCTGAGACACGTTTCAGGTGATTCTCTTCTATGGAAATCAAAACTCTTTTCATCCATTTTCTAATATGAGCTTTAATTCCAGAATTAGCTGGTAGTTAATCAAATTCGTTCTTCTCTTTAATGACCCACAGTCTGCAACATAAACCCAATGCCCTTTCCACGATATCACACCTAAAACATATTTGGGTTGTCTCAGGAACATACTCATTTAATCTGAGGGATTATTCTTTAGTATAAAATACTTTTTAAAATTAAAATGTAAACTTCAAGCTTTACATCTTTTCTTCATTAACTTTAATTCTTAGACACAGAGCATCATTGATATCCCATGAAAAAATTTAATTTTTTGATTGTGTTTTTTGTATTTGGTCATCTTCTCTTGTATAAATTGGATTAAAGGAATGAGATTAATGGGAAAATAATGATGACTGACAAACTTATTTGATAAGAACTGGGTACACTTAGGTATTTCCAGTAATTAGCATCACTTTAATCTTGCAATAAACTGATCTTAACTATTTCTAGGGTATAAGTAGTCACAGCGCTTTTAGGGATGAGTACCAAACTAAACGTAAAGCTCAAGAGAGAAAATTTCAGGAAATAATATGGAGAATGTCTAACCCTCATGTTAAAGAAGAATACCATCTCCAACCAGTTTATAGACCAGATTATACACCGTAAACATGGGGGTGGTCAGCAGTGTGAAGCTGGTCAACATGATGAAGGAGGACCTGCACTGGCTTCACCTTCTACACCCTCATATGATGATCATCATGTCATCCATCACCCAAAGGTGTAGATGGAGGGCAGGTGTAAAACCTGCTAAAATTGAGAAGGCCAGGAGGTTTGTCAACAGTGTTATGGCTACATTTATTTCTAGCTTAAATGGTGCAATTGTTGTGCATCCTCACATCAGACATGACAGTCCAGGGACATTTTTGTCAGACAAAGTTCATTTCACAAATAGGGGAAATACTATTGCTTTAAGTAATTTTGCCAATTGTCTTAATGGCCAGCTCCAAAAGCAGTGAAAGATTTCCAGGTGGGAGTGTCGCTACTTTTGAATTTGGCCTTTAGGACAGATTTATTTTCAGGCAAACAGGATAACCATATCCCTGAATGTTATAGCTAATGTGTTGTTTAGGGATGTCCCGATCCAATCACATGATGGAAATCTGTCCCGATCACATGGTTTCAGACTCGATCGGGACTCGGGCTTTACTTCCCAATTCAAGCCCCGATCCGGACTTGGATACTGGGTTCAAATTGCAGGAGAGCAACTTGGTTCTCCTTAAAGGTTGTCAGGCTCCCCTGACACCCTTAACTTAACACACCCAGAAGGAGCACAAAAAAGATCCAGTTTCTACCTATATTATATTATTTATATGGACTCAGCGTAGCGGGGATTCTTTTGGGCAGAGATTCAGCAGAGCAGCAGGCAGACCGGTGATTATTCATGAACTCCAGCTGCGATCTGCACACGGCTACAGTAACATTTTCTAAGTTTCTAAGTGGCATCACCAAAAAATATATAATTAATACAGTCGTTCGTGTCCGTTCATTTTCTCTCTGGTAAGTTCCTTCTTTATTTGAGCATGATGTGTGGACGCGCTCACGCTGCCCCCGCTGTAGCGCTCGTCTCTGGCGCAGCCGGGCAGAGCAGCGCACACAGTATTGGATCGGGACTCGGTATCAGCAGATTCTCAAAATCAAATGACTCGGACTCAGACTCGGACTCGAGGGCAAAAAAACCTGATTGGGACATCCCTAGTGTTGTTGATGTAATTTATCTATAGCATAACACTGTTGACAACTCTGTTCTTCCTTCACAACTCAATGTTCCACTCACTCTGCAGCTCTCTGGGCCCCTTGTATTATTTTACATTTTTTTAAATGTACCGACACTTTGTGTTCTGTTATTTTATAAATTGTGATGTAAAAAAATAAATATGTTTGCTCAATTACTGGAATTTCTTTGGTTAAGACAAAAAAGGAAGGAAGAATCATTTATGCCAAGTTGTTTCTACAACAGGCCAGTTTTAAGTCCAACAGTTTCTTAGCAGCCAATAGAAATGTGTTCTTTACTAACTTCCTGTACAGCAACATGACAGACGAACGGTGGTCTGTCTGTCAGAATGTGTTGAACAGATTTGCTCTATCAAGAGGAACCTTTTTTGTACGAGGTTCCCCTCTTGGTTTGGGTTATGTATCCCCACATTAGCATGTAAATGCTGAACCAATCTGGAATAAAGAGGGTTGATAGAGGACAAACAAGTAAATAAGAGAGGAAAATAAAAACAACTAGGAAACCAACATAAAAACAGAAACCAGCTGCTGCACCTGTAAAGAAACATTTCTAAGAATCATCAAGAAAATGTGGGGTGAACAACAATAAACATGTAAACCATGAAC